ATTGGAGTTAAGTTGTAGAAAGGTGTGAAAGACCTCACTTTGCGTGAGAAAATAAATAAATGTTCTTCACCCTCAATCTATCATTCTTTCTATCTCTCTATATGTCCATTTCTCAATCTTTCTCTATCTTTCTCTATCTTTCGCTAACTGTATTTCTACATTTTCTTCTTTTCGGGCATTCCATTTTTTCCACAAACGCTCTTTTGTTTGATGTATTAGAAACAATTCTTTTCTCTCATACAAGGGTCTTGTTGTTTAAATTACCACTTGTTCACTAATTTCATTTTTATAGATTGGTATTATTATCCTTCACAAAACAGGTTAGGTAAAACGCCTAATGACAACGCATGAACCCGAAATGCGTCTTGCCACGAACCAAGAGCTAAGAACCGCAGATATGATCGGTAATAATCTAACTGCTTGTTCGCCGGCTCGGAAACGTCTAAACAATTTATCCGCTTCTTAGATGTGTTGCTAGATTTAGATAAGAAATTTGACGATGTTTATTGATTAAATAATAAATACAAGAAACAACCAATTGTCCTGAAAGTTTATTTTTAGTATTTGAAATATTTTATCCAGTTTTATTTAAAGATATTTAAGACGAAAAAGTTAGTGTCACTAGCGGGATTCGAACCCACGATTTTCGGCTTAATATGCCGCTACTCTACCACTTGAGCTATCGCGACTTCGATCCGAGAATCAAATAGATTACACGACATTTGATAAATGGCAAAATGGAGGGAAAATTCAAAAGGTGGGGTTGAGATGGGAAGGTAGTGTCCGAGTCACGGAGGCTCAAGTGGTAGAGCAGCGGCGTATCTAGCCGAAGATCGTTGGTTCGAATCCCTCTCCTGCCATTAACTTTTTTTCATCTCAACTAAAAACCTTAATTAATTGTAATGTACTAATTGGTGCAGCGGACCACGAAAATAGTGAACTTGCAGATATAATTATGACACATCTATTAAACACAGTTATACCACAACTTATGTTGACAGCAGTTCCCACAAATCAAATTCAAACTATATTAGATACATTTGTCGTCGAGAATCCAATCAGATTAAACGACATTTGAAAAATGGCAAAAAGGAGGGAAAACTCAAAAGGTGGGGTTGAGATGGGAAGTTGGTGTGCGAGTGGATCGAGGTCACGATAGCTAAAGTGGTAGAGCAACGGCGTATCTAGCCGAAGATCGTGGGTTCGAATCCCTCTCGTGCCATTGACTTTTTTATCTCAACTAAAAACCATAATTAATCGTAATATATTAATTGGTCACGCGGACCACGAAATTAGTGAATATATTAGATACATTTAACAGCTTTCACCCTACAATTTACACATGAAATCGAAGACAAAACAATACCATTTTTAGGTACACTCATAATAAAACAACCAGATGACACATTAACCACAGATTTACATCAAAAACCAAAAAACACAGATCGCTACCTCAACTTTACATCTCACCATCCTCTTCATACAATAATAAACACAGCCAATGGGCTACTTAACAGAATTATTACCCTAAGCCATGAAATATTTCACCGCAAGAACATAACGGTATACAAACATATCCTCCATAACAATCACTGCTCTAAACACATAATTAATAGAATGACCAACAACTATAATTCAACACTAACACCATCCACTAGTACTAATTTACATCAAATCTATCAAATACAAACATTTCACACAACCAACATACATTTCCAGACCAATCATTCACGGCCTGTCACAGAAATTAAACACATTTCTCTCGTTGAGATGAAAAAAAGTTAATGGCACGAGAAAAATGGCAAAAGGAGGGAAAACTCATAATTTGGGGTTGAGATGGGGAGTTGATGTCCGAGTGGATCGAGGTCACGGTAGCTCAAGTGGTAGAGCAGCGGCGTATCAAGCCGAAGATCGTGGGTTCGAATCCCGCTCGTGACATTGACTTTTTTGTCTCAACTAAAAACCTTAATTAATTGTTTTAAGAATACTACAAACTACGCCTGTCGATTAAATAAAACATTTACAATATAATCACATCGACTAAAAAAATAAAATATATATTAATCATAGTTTAAACTAATAGGTCGAATGTAATGAACCTCATGCGGCGTGGTTCGAATCCCGCTCCTGACACTGACTTTTTTATCTCAACTAAAAACCTTAATTAATTGAAAGTATTTTTTAGACTTGATGGGTATGGGTCTGCGAGTCGATAAATTCGTTTATGGGTCCATCTTCAACAAACCCGCTAAAACGGACCCAACATGAAACCCAATGCTAGTTCAACATGAGTATTTTATTTTTTCATCATCGTTTTAGACTTTTTAAGTCAACATATGATGAAAAATCAACGTGAAAATAGTATACTTTTGAAAAGATATACTGATCCTTCCATGGCGGCAAAATCTTTATAGTATTAAATATTTTTTAAGTTTTGGAAATTTAAATTATGCCTTTCGAACCGGATAAAAAATATAAATATTTAATCAAAAAGTTTTGTACTTGCTTTTGTACATTGAGGAAATTAATTTTTACGCGTGACATTAGGCTTCGTGATCATCTCTTTCCGTCTGTTCAAAAATTCTTCTATTTCTTTTTTACCACAAGTTAAATGAATTTCTCGCCAGGCTGTATAATTAAAATCATCCCTTTCTTCTCTTCTTCAGCTGTCAAACGGATTTAATTCAACTTAGAAACTTAATCAAGAAGTCGGCACGATTAGAAATGTTAAAATTAAACTTATTGAACACGTTTAATTAACAGATGCCACATTCGTTTAAATGAAACTCGACACTTTTTCACGGGATAACTTTAGAACAGAACCATTAATCACCATACCAGACAAAACATGCTTATATAACTTGAAAAAACGCTTACCCGAATTTACTTTTTTATAATTGATTGAATATTTAAAACATATTGTCAGAAATGCACAATGGAATAAATTACTTCTTATTGTAACCGACGACAATTTGTAAAAAGTACGTGACTAAGGAAAATTATATATTTAAACATCAATAATCTAGTGGTTTTTTTTTTCATGCACACTGAAAGACCCTTTCGCATACTTATTGCACAATAACGAGAGCTTAGTCCAAGCTAGGATCAATGTTGCGCGTCTTTGTTGGTAACAGCCCCGGTTCAATGTTGCGCGTCTGTTCGGGGGCTGCCCCGCAACAGTAAAGCGGGGCGCACACCCGATGCAACACTACCCGATGCTAATCCAAAGCTCTATTTTCCATTAGATTGTATTACCCCCGTGCACATCTGCCCGATGCCACGCAACGCTACCCTATTCTACATTATGCGATCCCCTCTGCCCAGATTTTCGTCGGGTAGCATCGAGTACAATCGAAGACAAAAGAACCAGACACTCATAGTTTTATTTCAAACTATATGTATATTGTCGTTATATTAATCACTACATTCTTATTTTAATATAAATGAGATCAAAAATTCATGAGTTTTTATAATTTTTTTAAATTATGATGGTTAGGCAGAAATTTATCAAACACCAGAATAACTTTATTTAAAACAATTAAATTTAACTAACAATTTATTACATGGTTGTGTTCATAAAATTTAATTAGCAATTTATTACATGGTTTTGCTCATAAAATTACACCATTTTCGTCGAATAGCGTCAGAACCGGACACTCATATTTTTGTAGTTTATTTCACTGTATGTATTATTGTCGTTACATTAATCACAACATTCTTATTTTAATATAAACCAAATTAAACGAGATCAAAAATTCATGAGTTTTTATTAAAAATTTTTTAATTATGATGGTTAAGCAGAAAATTTATCGAATCACCGGAATAATTTTATTTAAAACAATTAATTTTAACTAACAATTTATTACATGGTTGTGCTCATAAAATTTAACTAACAATTTATTACATGTTTGAGCTCATAAAATTTAACTAAGAATTTATTACATGTTTGAGCTCATAAAATTTAACCAACAATTTATTGCATGTTTGAGCTCATAAAATTTAACTAACAATTTATTACATATTTGATCTCATAAAATTTAACCAAGAATTTATTACATGTTTGGGCTCATAAAATTTAACTAAGAATTTATTACATGTTTGAGCTCATAAAATTTAACTAACAATTTATTAAATGGTTAGGTTCAAAATAATGCATTAAGAACAAAAGAGGCGTTGCGATGGCGATACTCGCTGTGTGACTGTACGTGGCGTGCGCTTGTCGTCGCACAGATGTGCACACCCTGCCAAAGCGAGACGAGGCGTCGGGTAGCATCGGGCAACGTTGCGTAGCGTTGCATCGGAAAAGTGTGTTTTACACTAAAGATGCAGTTCGGAACTGGAAGAGAAAGGTAATAAGATAAAGAGAAAGTAAAGAATGAGAAAGAAAAGAGCGAGACAAAATACATAAAGATAGAGATAATAGAAAAACTAGGTAAATAGATATGTAGTAAGGAAAACACAGTAATAGATAGTACAAAATAAGAAATAAAAATTAAACAAAATATATAAATTTAAACAAAAGCTAACTGTTCTTACATTTCTAGAAAAAGTAATATGAAGGAATTTACAACCGGTACAGACCCAAAATGAATAAATTACACAAGGAACAACAGTGCAATCTGATTAGAAAGGTCTTTAATTTAGAGCCAAAGTTTCGCCTTTGCAAAATCAACTTTTAGCCGTTAGAAGATTTATTTTATACTATTATTTAATTTCGCATATATTTTATGATATTGAACTTTTAATTCGGTTTTATGGTTTTGGTCAGCTCTAACGTGTTAAATTTATTTTTGCAAACTTATCCGGTGCGGAAATATTTTTTATAGTTTGCGGCGATTAACTTCTTTTTAGCTTTATATCCCAGAAAGGAGATAACTACCAAACGTTCTTGGAAAAAGAGCTCCAAAGTGCTGAAAAAGGCCTTGTGAAATATATTTTTTTCAAATGTATCCAGTGCGGAAACATTTTTTATAGTTCAGTGCTTTTTACTTCTTTTTTAGCTTTATATCCCAGAAAGGAGATTTAATAACTACCAAATGTTCTTGGAAAAAAGCTCCGAAGAGCTGAAAAAGATCTAGGTAAATATATATATTTTTTAATTTGTCCTATAGTGAAATATTTTTTATAGTTCACTGCTATTTACTTCCTTTTTAGCTTTATATCCCAGAAAGGAGATTTAATAACTACCAAATGTTCTTGGAAAAAAGCTCCGAAGAGCTGAAAAAGACCTAGTTAAATATATTTTTTTTAAATTTGTCCTATAGTGAAATATTTTTTATAGTTCACTGTTATTTACTTCTTTTTTAGCTTTATATCCCAGAAAGGAGATATAATAAGTACCAAATGTTCTTGGAAAAAAGCTCCGAAAAGCTGAAAAAGACCTAGTTAAATATATTTTTTTTAATTTGTCCTATAGTGAAATATTTTTTATAGTTCACTGCTATTTACTTCTTTTTTAGTTTTATATCCCAGAAAGGAGATTTAATAACTACCAAATGTTCTTGGAAAAAAGCTCCGAAGAGCTGAAAAAGATCTAGGTAAATATATATTTTTTTTAATTTGTCATATAGTGAAATATTTTTTATAGTTCACTGCCATTTACTTCTTTTTTAGCTTTATATCCCAGAAAGGAGATTTAATAACTACCAAATGTTCTTGGAAAAAAGCTCGGAAGAGCTGAAAAAGACCTAGGTAAATATATATTTTTTTAAAATTTGTCCTATAGTGAAATATTTTTTATAGTTCACTGCTATTTACTTCTTTTTTAGCCTTATATCCCAGAAAGGAGATATAATAACTACCAAATGTTCTTGGAAAAAGCTCCAAAGAGATGAAAATGTCCAAACAAAAATTAAATAAATTTAGCACGAAAAATCGCTGCAAAATACGCTATAAAATACAAATTCTTAATGGAAGTTCGATATAGGCTTTTAATTTTTAATGTAGCCTCATTTTTCTAGAAAGAATGATCGTCAATATGGAGGCCATACCTAGGCAATTATTGATTTTTATAGTTTCCATTAAATTTTGTGGCAGTGTTTTTTTATATAATATTACGTGGTATATACAGATTAAACTACATTATAATAATGTATTGCATATTAGAGAAAATATTTTAGGAATTTTATTAAAAAATTCTATAACTTTTGCATCTTTATTATGAATGATACTGAGACGATTAAGTTGTAAATTAGTAATCATTTACGAATGTTCGAGCTGACTGTGTCCAAACAACAGACACATCTGGGCCTTTAAGCGTCAGAGGAATCTTGGCAACGACAGACAGGCCCAGGTCTCTTGTTTTTTACCTGATGTTAACTTTCAAACAGGCCTGGTTTTATTGCTTCTCAACCCTGTCTTTGACTGTAAATCAATGTTTATAACTCAGAAAACCTTTCTCAGTGTTTTATCGCTTACCCTTGGTTTCATCAATGGCCAGAGGTGTAGCGTACAACTTATTTCCGTTGATAGTGTTTCTTGTGCCAAATGTGTTTATATAAAAGTAGTCAGGCCGTTGATATTTTTTTATATATCATGATGTGAAAGTTTTGTTATTTAATGAAAAACGTAAAGTCGATAGAAAATTCTGACTAACCAATGGAACTTTTCCAAGGTGATACAAATTAATAAAAGATATAGTTTTTGAACAATTCTGCCGTGAAATCATACTCGAGGAAGGACGAGGAGAATTCCAAAATAGGAATGTGACTCAATGAGCGAACAGGTGCGATCTCAATAATAAAAACGACTTGGCTTCGGAGACATAATGGGCGATTAATTTTAAAACTCGAGCGACATAAATAGCATCGACCATCGACACATCGTTTTCATATTCGAGTCCAACCGGCCCGACATTTGCGTCAACGAGGAGCTGTGTGGCGTTATGTGGGGCTTCACGAATATCTTTTGAGCTCTGGCTTTAATAATATTTGCGAAAGAAAGATTTAAAAAGCTAGGGAAATTTATAGCAAAGTGTAAAACTAATTTAAATGCATAATCTTTCGAATTTGTTTCTGGCACATGATTATTCGAATTTATACAAAGAATCTGAATAAATGTTATGACTTATCCCTACATGTTCGTAAAAAATAAATAAAGTTTTTCGGAGTACACAAAAATTATTTAAAATTACATAACAAAAAAAATGCCTATCAAAAAAGATACATAAATGCCAATGAACTCTAAAAAACTGAGGACTTATACACAAAGTAAGGAAAATTAAGGAAAGAAATTTCAAAAAGAATATACATATATATTATAAACTATGAACGTAGATTATACATTCAAAATGGAACCAAAAAGTCCTAATTAAGTATGGTCCGAATCTACACTGTTTCGGAGTTATTTCACTTTTTTTGATTTTTTAAGATTTGACAACCTTGCTTCAAATAAACAATGATAACTCCCAAACGAAAAGGTTTTAGACGAATCCGTTAAGACCGTCGAAAACTACGTTAAATTTTCAATGAGATGTGATTAATATTAAACTTGTAAACGTTCGTGAAATAAGTGTTTTAGTAGCGAGAACTTTGAAATTTTTTTTTTCAATGTTAAAAAACTTACTACGGTCATTCTAAACTAATATTTCAGAATGTTCGGCTACTCGTTTTAGAAATTTTGGCCGAACGATTCTACATTCAAAATGGAACGAAAAAGTCCTAATTAAGTATGGTCCGAGTCTCAACAGTTTCGGAGTTATTCCATTTTTTCTTATTTTTTATGATTTCACGACTTTGCTTCAAATAAACAATGATAAATCCAAAACTAAAAGGTTCTGTCCAAATCTGTTAATACCATTGACAACTACGTTAAATTTCCAATAAGATATGATCAATATTAAACTTGTAAACGTTGATGAAAGAAGCGTTTTAGTACCGAGAACAAAAAACATTTTCTTTTAAAAGTTAAAAAATTTACTACAATGATTTTTAAATACCATTTCCAAGCCTAGACAGCAGCAAATTTTAGAAAACCTACTCCATTTCATATCCTTTTTAGTGGTGATATTTCTTTTGTAATTATTTTTTTTCAAAGATGAAGAAATTGATTGAGGAAAAGTGGCTGTCATGTTGGTAAAAAAGTAAACACTTGTACTATTTCGGTTTCGAACTCAAATTAAAAAAAAAATAAATACATTCAAAATTTTATTAAGTTTATTTTTATTTTTAAAATTTTTCACCTCAACAATCCGTCAGCCTCGGTCTTTTCTTTTTCTTCATCGATTTCTTCATCTTTGAAAAAAGTAATTAGAAAAGCAATTGCACCACTAAAAAGGACATTAAATGAAGTACGTTTTCTAAAATTTGCTGGTGTCTAGGTGTGGAAATGGTATTTAAAAATCATTGTAGTAAATTTTTCAACGTTGAAAAAATTTTTTTTTTGTTCTCGCTACTAAAACGCTTCTTTCATCAACGTTTACAAGTTTAATATTGATCATATCTTTTTGGAAATTTAACGTAGTTGTCAATGGTATTGACAGATTTGGACAGAACCTTTTAGTTTTGGATTTATCATTGTTTATTTGAAGCAAAGTCGTGAAATCATAAAAAAATCAGAAAAAATGGAATAACTCCGAAACTCTTGAGATTCGGACCATACTTAATTAGGACTTTTTCGTTCCATTTTGAATGTAGAATCGTTCGGCCAAAATGTCTAACACGAGTAGCCGAACATGCTGTATATACCTGCGCCAATTTTTGGCTTAAGTAAATATGATAACAGTTTAGGATACAAAACAAAATGAAAATTACAAAAAATGTACATAAATGAGGAAAAAGAGGAACTTTTCATTAGTAGTCATTCCTATATATTAGCGTTAATCACTTTCACTGTCACTTACGAAGTCGCGAGGTCAGTGACGCTTCAGCCATCGAGGAGGACTACTTGGAAGTGCGGGGGATGAAAGTATTTTGATTGATATTTGGATTCAGGAGGCGTTCTAGAGAAAAGCTAAGACATTTCACTGCAACGTTTAAGGCATGGTGGTGTTTGGTGACCGTTAATTAATGATTATTTAAAGATCGTGAGATACGGTCTGGTGTGACGTAGGTTTTAAAAAAACGTTTTCTTTATGGTATCAACGTTTCGATCATTATTGAGATCATCTTCAGGGCTTGGGATTTATAAACATTGTTTAAATTGTACAAATACATGCAGGATTAATGAAATTATACAATTATTATTGTTAGTCGGCTCAATGGACTGATGGTCCCCGACTGAACAATTCCAAAAGAAGAACAAGAACCGGGAAAAAGAAAATTTACAACCACACACATACAATAAAAACTATAATTCGACCTTTTGAAATCCAACAAAAGTTGTATATACAAAAAATGCCGTGAGATAGAAATAAACAAAAAAAAAAATCTTGTTAACAAAAAATAAAAAATTCCTCTCAAGAACAAAAAACAACACAATTTCAACCTTAATCAATTTAAAAAAAATTTACAAATGCGACTAATTAAAAGAAGGAGCGGGCACACTCCCTGAAGGAACAAGGATTCAGGAAATAAAGGATTTTGGCTCACCGTTGTCGACTCGCTCGTGTCCAGTCACACAATCCCTTCTCCCCGCTTTTCTTATCATTCCAGGGGAAGAAGATCCCCACCAGGGGTGTTGCATAACAATTTTGCACCCTTACACAATGATAGGAATTTTAGACTATCAGAATAATTGTGCTCACTCAAAGTGTTTGTTTTCTATGTTGTGTGATGTGATGATGATATATGTATGCTATCGATATTGAATTTGATTAGTGATATTAGCGTAGCTGTGACTGTTCTGTAATTGATGCTGTGTTAGCCCTGTTGATGTTGAACTATTGCTAAAAATCCATTATATTTAGTGGTCTGATTGACTATTTCCTTCTTTCAATTAATTAATCTTTTTATGCTAGGTCTTGGCCATTTTTCAAATGTCGTGTAATGTGAAGTTATTTGGTCACTCCGACCACGAAACGACTTCTCGCGAATGAGGTCGTGGGTTCGAATCACGCACAGGACACTAACTTTTTCATTTCAACCAAGACTTAACATAAAAACATTTCTAAAAAGTTACGTTTTGTTCTATGTGTAACATTATTAATTTAGTTTTTTGTTGAGATGAAAAAAAGTTAATGGAACGAGAGGGATTCGAACCCACGACCTTCGGCTAGATACGCCGCTGCTCTACCACCTGAGCTCTCGTGACCTCGATCCACTCGGACATCAACTCCCCATCTCAACCCCACCTTATGAGTTTTCCCTCCTTTTGCCATTTTTCTCGTGCCATTAACTTTTTTTCATCTCAACTAAAAAACTTAATTAATTGTCATGTATTAATTGGTCAAGCGGACCACGAAAGTAGTGAATTAACATTTTTTGGTGTTCAAAATGGTGGGTAGCAAGTGCTATAGGATTTTGCTTGGGTTTTATGCAATCATAGATATGTTGCTTTGCTCTCTTGTCCAGATATTGGGATGTAAGACCATTAAACAATTGATTTTGTAGATTACGTCAGATTTATTTGTTATTGGTGTGGGATCTTTAATTTTGGAAAAATATTTGAATTGTTTTATAATTTTTGAAAGCTATTTTAAAGTTACCGGACGAGAGAAATGTGTTTAATTTCTGTGACAGGCCGTGAATGATTGGTCTGGAAATGTATGTTGGTTTGTTTGTATTTGATAGATTTGATTAGTATAATTAGTACTAGTGGATGGTGTTAGTGTTGAATTATAGTTGTTGGTCATTCTATTAATTATGTGTTTATAGCAGTGATTGTTATGGAGGATATGTTTTGTATACAGTTATGTTCTTGCGGTGAAATAATTCATGGCATAGGGTAATAATTCTGTTAAGTAGCCCATTGGCTGTGTTTATTATTGTATGAAGAGGATGGTGAGATGTAAAGTTGAGGTAGTGATCTGTGTTTTTTGGTTTTTGATATAAATCTGTGGTTAATGTGTCATCTGGTTGTTTTATTATGAGTGTACCTAAAAATGGTATTGTT